TGAAGGACTATCTCCTATTTAGGACTTGCCATTCCCATGGCAAAGGGAAAAGAGAGGTGGTGGGAAATGTGCTGCAAACACACAGTGACTCTTAAAAGCTTCCGCTCAAAAGTGCCATAGTTATCATTCACTAACATTTACTTGGCTAGAGCAATTCGCATGACTTTGACATCCAAGCTTAAGCATGACTTTGACATCCAAGCTTAAGTAAGTTATGCTCCTTCAACAGGGAAGCAAAAAAGCACTGCAACTCAGTTTCAACAGGTGTAGCTATATAATCCCAGCACAAGGTACTAGGAAGCAACTAAACTGAGAGCAATAATACAATGTACCACAAGGCATGCCAAGGATTCCTAGAAATTCACTGTTCATGAAGAAAATGTAAACTCAAAAAGGTAAGTAACAAAAATTTTATCAAGTTCACAACAGAGAGCAGGAGATGCTAGCAAAATACATGAATCAATTCTCCACGTTAAGTTTATAGGTTACTAATGAACCAAAAGGGCATAAACATTGCCTTCTGTTAGGAGGACTTGCTTGAAAGTTTATCTAGAAATGAGTAACCAAAAAGAACCTAATTAAAGGTTCACAAAGATTAATGATTTTAGACATTTCAAAAGCATTTGACAACAACAAAATTACTAAGCCATGTTAAAATGCTGAAGTCGAAATATTCATCTCTCACCCTCCCTTCTGATGCTTGTCCCCCACACCCCCACTATGACTCCCTGCTTTATTCTCCCATGACGTCTTCTCATTGTGTTATCTTTCTGTCTCTTGCCTTCACTAGGCCAGAACATATATCTTCTCCCAGTTTGTTCTTACCAAAAGAGAAGTGTTTTTTTGTAACTTTATATTGAAGTAAGGCACCCTTGTGTCCCTTTCAGTCTATGCTCTCCCACACTCCAAGAATGGAGACCAACCTGACTTCCAGCACCATAGATTAGCTTTGCATTGTTTTAGATGTGCTCTTGTGTGTCCGGCTTCTTTCACTCAACATCAGCTTTATGAGAAAAAAATCAATAGGTAGATCATTCATCCTAATTATGTATTAAATTACGTCTTGTGACTGAATCACAATATTTTTACCCATTCTACTTTTGGTGGATATTTGGATTATTTTCAGGTTGGCGCTATTAAGAATAGGGCTACTATGAACATTCTAGTTCATGTTTTTCTGGAAATGCGATTTATGAATTTATTTGGATATTTACCTATAACTAGAATGACTGGGTCATAGGCCATGTGTATATTTAGCTTTAACAGTTTTTGAAAGTGGTTGTACCATCCTCCAAACTTTAAGGTTTCACATTCATTTAAAAAAGCCTTAACAGTTGGCACAGTCTTTCCAAAAGAGGCATGTAGTGACCTCACCTTTAGAAACAATAGATTAAGGATAAGACATGGTACGTGCTAACCGCCATGTCTCACTTCTAGTTAGTTATCTGCTAAAAATTTATTAACTAGAGGGATTTACTGGCCGGATCACTGCCTATAGGTACAAAATATTTTAACAATGACGCATTCTGCTTCTGTACCCCTGCTTGCTTACCCACCTCTTAGTTATCAGTTAATGAATGGAGGAGATATAGTCTTTTGTGTAAAAATTAAGGATGTGGGGGATGGAATCGAGGGCTTAAAACCTTTGTGCCCCTGCGTCTCGGGGCTGCTCCTTGGCAAGGACAGCCGCCAGCTAATAAACTGTCTCTTGGATTAGAGCACTCGAGTTGGGCCTTGTTATTTCGGTCACAACAATGCAGACCCGGAACCCATGCCTTCTGACTCCAAGTCTAGTGCTTTTTACATTGAGTAAATTTTAAACCCTTCTACACTACTTTCCCCTCACCAAAACTTTGCCACCTTCTTCCTTTAATGCTTCTCAATTGAATAGACAGCTAGTGTTTATGAGCTCTTCTCCCCAGGGTATTTTTGCCTTAAAGAGGGTCAGTAGAGACTTCAAATACTAATTCTAATTGTGAGAATTTCAGGTCCCATAAAAGTTCGGTCCATAAGAAGAAACGGGGGAAAAGGAGAGAGGGAGATTTTTTCAGTTACAGGGAACTAAGTATTCAAAAGAATCACTCAAATCCCAAATGACTATTTATCTGAATAAAGCCATCCTGATGAAACACGATAGGAAATAGAACGCTTGTTTTTTATCATGCGAATGTCAGGGCAAACACTTTGGAGATTTATTAAACCCTTACTTCTCCAAAGTGATACATTGGAACCAAAGGGAAGCCTGAGTGGTTTAATTGACCCATAACCAGCCAAGTCTCCACCCAGGAAACTAGGAGCAGGAATTTGCTGCCGGTTTCTTGAAGATAGCCTATACCTGAGCCCAGTGCATGAAGAAGCAGTAGAAAAAAATTGAGAAAGATGACAATGGAAATCAAGCCCCAACCCTTGATGGCCCACTCAGGTGTACATCTGTTCCCCAATTCTGTGTTGTAATTAAAGAGAAATGGTTTTTACATATTAAGATATTTTCCATTTATCCTAGTCTGATGCCTGAATTTAAATGCAGTTCAAGTTAAGAGTACTAATTAATTGTGAATCACTCCAATACTTGAATATAAGGCCTCTCGAGCCTAATGTGCAAATTTATGTAAAAACAATGTGAAAATTAGAAATGCATTGGCACATTTTTTTAAACCAGAACTGTAGCACTCTGTCTAGTCAAACAGACTGCTCATTTGCAAGTTGTCTATATGCAAAGCATTCTGCCCCTGGGAGCCTCAAATCTCCTTAGCAAGTCATCTGAAATTTGAGAAGAGCTTTGTTCTGAATCTGCTATCTGCTCTTTTCACTTTCTCTTCTCTGCTTCCAACAGAGCAGACAAAAAGCTAAGTACAGATTTCACCTGGCAACCCCAAGCATGGCCAGAACCTGAAGCCTACCCAGGGAAAATTCCAAACCGCTCCCTCCAACCCAAAGGACTCAAATTTCCCTTTGCAGACTGGACCTGGTCTGTTTATGGGTAGATACTGGGCTAGCTTTCGGAATCTCAGTAAAGCTTGCTGTTAAAGCGGGGCAGCTGTTTTGAAAGCTGATCAATAGTGCAGACTTGTCAGAGTCAGGATTCTGTAGTTCTGGGGCTTCACCCATTCTTCGGAGAAAGAGCCAGCACTGACAGGTACCCAGGTGCAGCAGCAGGGGGCGCATCTGGCACATGAGCCCAAAGCAGACTGCCACCTGAGCCAGAAGTGTGTCAGAGGTCAGTCCCAGGAGATGCTGGGACGGGGCCAGCAGGACAAGGTCAAGTCATTCCACACCCAGGAGTTGGAGGGGAGCCTTTCTGGAAATTCCCTAGTTAATCATATAGCTGTAGAATGGAAAGGATGATGAGAGAGACAGGAGGATCTTCCAGGAACTGGCAAGCAGCCAGGCAGAGCTAATGGCAGCCCACCCACGCAAGATAAGGCAGGCAGTGGATCCTGATAGCTGAGAAGGAGCACTCTGGGACAGGAGCTGCACCAACAGTGAGTGTGAATCACTGTCACCTCTAAGAGGCTGACTCAAGGTTTTCCCAGCAGCTCAATCCCAGATTAAAGGGGCATCATCTCTAGGCCCCCAGCCTCCAGTCACACCTCTGCTTGGTGGCCCACTCTGCTGCCCACAGCTCATGTTTGCTCAAGTTATGCAAAAGGTTAATTTCTCATAATGACTTGTTCTTTAAATGCTGCTTTCACTGTGACCTGTAAATTCAATTTTCACCAGTTCGAGTAGTTGTCATCACACTGATATTAGCATCCTAAGGCCCCAATACTCAAAGTGTGGTCTCTGAATTTGCATTATCATCCTCAACTCTGAGTATGTCAGAAATTCAGACATCTGGGGCCCACTGCAGACTTCCAGAATCAGACTCTGCATTTAATAAGACCCACAAGGGATTCATGTGCACATTGAGTTTTGAGTAAGTGTTCTAAGATATTCCTCTAAATCTCTACCAAGCCAAGCTGAGTTTCAGTATTTCTATTTATCAGCTGGGTAACCTTGAATAGGGCACTTTTTTTCTTCAACCCTCAAGTCCTCATCTGTAAAATGGGGATGCTAATCCTATTTAAAGTTAGTTAAATTGAATAATAATTAGAATTTGTCCTATAAGTTGTGAATAATGATCAAAATATTCAACTTTATTCTTATGTTGTATCCTGACTGAATGATTGTATCATAAACTGCTAAAAGCAGGAACAATTTTCCCTCTACCTCTTTTTTATCCTCCCTATACACTGAGTGTAGTGTTCTGCCCATAATGAGGTTGACTATTTGACATTTACAAAAATCAACCTCCCTTGGAATTTCCAACTGCCTCTCCACCCCCCTCCCCCAAAATTCTAATTTCAATTTCCAACTCCAAGCACAAAGAGCTCCTGTCACTTTGACCTAATCCTCTGAGGTTCATCCCTCTAAATAAGTGTATTGTCACTATCTGTAAAGCACTTTGTTACTATGGCAACACATTCATAATTGGGTGTGTGAGTAATTGAGAGTGGCTCCCCTGACCAGGGGCCCTCCTGCCAGACTATACAGAAAACATTCTGTCCTCCTACATGTTACCCACCCATAGGTTTGCATCAAGACCCTATGAATTTCTCCACTTTACATGTATTTTATCAATACTATAGACCAACAGGAGCAGAAGGATAGATATGGTAGGAAAAGTACTGGGGGAGGAAATTGAAGGTCTCAGTTTCAGTTCAGAGTCTAACTCAACTTTTCAGGACCCACACGTAGGCCCCCGCCATCCCCCTTATTTAAAAGAGATGAGTGAACAACGTGCTTTCCTAGGCTTAACCTCTCCCATGTTCTATAATATTCTCAGCCTCACTTAACTCAGCCTCATTTAACAAACCTTTCCAGCATTAAACATTAACACAGCTCTTTTTATATGGCACGGTTCATTACCATGCCAATAAATGATTAATTATAATTCTCCTTCTGGACCAATAATTTGGCGGGACTTTTATGATTCATAATTTGTGCTGTGTTGGAATGTTACCATTCGAAACTGACATACCAGCATTTATTGTTTTTTATTGCCTCTCTGAGGTTGCTTTTGAAAGAGACACCAAGTGACACATGTTTAAGAAGGGTTTAAAAGTTTGACGTGGTTGGAGTAGGAATTACTTATCTAGCGAGGAGTGGAGGATTGATGCTTCTGTGCATTTCTGTGATCATTTGAGCCTCAAACCCAGCAATGAATAATTCAACAGGCTGTTTGGCCACTGCAACAGTTTGTGATGGTGCATCCTGTGTGGTACCTGCCAGCAATTTCAATAACATTTTAAGTGTGATCCTGAGTACCGTCTTGACCATCTTACTGGCTATGGTAATGTTCTCCATGGGATGCAATGTGGAAGTCAAGAAATTCCTGGAGCACATAAAGCGGCCGTGGGGCATATGTATTGGCTTCCTCTGTCAGTTTGGAATCATGCCCCTCGTGGGATTCATCTTGTCAGTGGCCTTTGACATCCTGCCCATCCAGGCTGTAGTGGTGCTGATCATGGGATGCTGTCCCGGAGGAACTGCCTCCAATATTTTGGCCTATTGGGTCGATGGCGACATGGACCTAAGGTAAGATATCTAAACCTCTATATACTGCTATCGCGTTGAATTAATCTTTCAGAACCTGTGGCATTTTGAATATTCATCAGGTCTGCCACTGAATTAGGGTACAACTGAGGAAGTAAACAGAAAGGAATAAATGATTTTACTTGCCTTCCTGTGTAGCTGCTTGCCCATTGAAATTTGAGGGTTACATATATATATATTTTTAATCTAACTCAGTTAGTAGGGAGTTGGATAATTACTGTTTATCTTTGGGAAAAGGGTCAAAGTTTTTAAAACAAAAATCTTTTTCAAGCCACACAGGCTGCAGCTGAGAAAGTTTTCTTTGTCTATGAGAAAAAACAACAAACAAACAAACAAAACTTTGTGGTGATGAGGAGCTTTGCCTGTAATCATGAAATCAAATTGTTCATTCAACATTAGAATCTTTGATGAGATAATAGTCAACTCTACCAAACACAGCTAGTTCTTTTGACAAGCTTTTTCTTGGTATAAAGCAAAGGAAGAATTTGTACATTTGTTTCAAATTAAAAGAAAAACACTTAGAGCAGCTTCTTTAAAAAAAAAATTATGCTTACCTTACTATAAAATAAACAGAAAATGGTTTCTCTGCTTCCCACAGAGTAATTTAAATTGCAATGATTTCCCAATTCATCCTGTGCCAGTCTGAACTAGCACTAGAAAAAAAAAGCTAATAGAAATAAGGCAAAGCATTAATGTGACAAGACTGAGAATTTTAATGCTGCAAGTCGAATAGACAAATGTCTTTTTCCTTACCTCACAATTCCTCATTTCCTGTGAAAGGTATGCATTTCTGCAAACTAGCCAGGTGTTAATGTAACGTATGCTTATTAAACACTGTACTCTAGGCAATCAGCTCTGTTAATCACCAGCTACTATACTCAGAAGAGAGAAGCTCAAAGTATAAAAATGTAACCATTGCAAAATGTAAAACCATTCCAGGTCAATCCAGTGTCTAGTGAGCAATTGGGAGCCTGCCACCGCATCTGAGCTGATGCTGATTTCACCAAGAGCTCTGGAAAAACCATTCAAATTATATACCTTCACAGTGCATATTTTTCATATAAGAAAATATCGTATCTTCCTTGCAATAATTTTTTTTCCGTAAGGAAAGTCCTGTAAAGAACAAAGGATGACAAGAGCTGTTTAGGTTTTGTTAATCTACGAACCACCGTATAGCAATAAGATCTTTTTAGACTTTAATTTAGTTTGACCAGGACAAAGGCACACAGAGGTAAAGAATTCTAAAAGCTAGTTGACTGGAGTGAACCAAATTGAGTATGGGGCTTTGATTTCCACTAAACAGCTTTTATGTAATACAGTCAACCCTTGAACAACACAGGTTTGAACTGTGTAGGTCTACTTATACATGGATGTTTTTCAATAAATACCGTAAATGTATTTTCTCTTTATGATTTTTAATTTATTTCATTTTAAGAATACAGTATATAATTCATATAATATAATATATATTTTTTATTATATGAAATATATATACATACATACATATATATATATACATATATATACATGTATATATATATAATCAGTAAGATTTCTGTTACATAAGAGGCTATTAGTAAAGTTCTTGGGAGTCAAAAGTTACTTGTGGATTTTCTGCTGTGAGGGGGAGGGGGTCAGTGCCCCTAACCCTAACAGTTGTTCAAGAGTCAACTATATTTGTAACTTTTTAACAAAATGGAAGAGTCTTATACCTTGGCATAATGCCACATGTGTAATCATTTGGTAAGATAGAAAAGTATGTGTGATGTTGGTTTGCTTGTTCTTGAAACAGATTCCCTTTTATGAGCTAAAACTGCAAAACCTTAATCTAAAAGGCCAAGCTATACTTTTCTGTGGTTTTAGGTAAATTTTACTACTCTTGAAACAGGAGATGATTATGAAATCTTGTCTATATTGCATAATAATTCCTGCAGTAAATAGTAATGTTAGGAAATAAGAACCAAAAAGCAGTGTTTGAAACCTTGGTGAAAAATCCAACTGAATCAGTGTATAGGATTCCTTCGGCAAGTCAGAATAAGTCCTATAATGGGAGGGATAGCATTGAAAATTTTAATTTTCATTCTAGAAAATGTGCACTCCACAGATCCTCCTTGTCTTAAAAATAACACCAACATCTTTCCAGTCCAATAGTCACCTCTCTAGCAATTCCACCTATCTAGAACTCAATAATAGGCTTGTGCACACCCAAAATAAATCCCATTTAATCCCATAAAGTTTCCTCACACGGGACCTAGTCATTCTCCTAATTCCAAAGTTCTTTTGTGCTTTTTCTCAGCTCAGAGGATAAAAAATTGGAAGTGGGCAGGGGTGCTAGAGAGGCAGGCCTGAGTCCCACAGTAGCATGTGGTCCTAAAAGCCTGACCTTGAGAGAGAAGACCAAAATGCCTCCAGAGCAAAGAGTTCAGCTTACGAAACACAGTAGCCTTTGCATTGTTTATTTTGGGGACAAACACAATCACCCAGAAGACATCGCTGCATTTTAGCAGAGTAAATAATAATGTTTTAGCAGAGTAAATAATACTGTTTACCACAATGACCCATAATTATTGCAAGATGATGACATGCATTGCATATGTTAGGTGGAAGACTGATTAAATATTTCTTTAAAGCAAATTTAGAGAGAAATACCTCAGCTATCGGGAAAGTTTTCCAACACTTCATTCTTCCAAAGTGAGCACTGGATAACTAAAGTCCTGATAATTTATTTAGATACAATCCTATCTATCATTGCCATTTCCAGTTCTTTCCTCTCGGAACTTTACTTTCTCCATTTCCACTTGAACTCTAGCAATGGCAGTCAAGATATGATTGTTTATATGAACGGGTTATCTGTACTAGTTGAATGTATGCCACAAATGCCAACAAAACAACCCCACCTAGCCTTAATTTTCCTGGGTATGGTTCCTGGAAGAAGAAACCAAATCATTTTTCCCTCACTCGTCATCTCTTCCAAACCTGGGAAACCACTGCATTTTAAAATCCCTCATGACAAAAACAAACAAACAAACAAAAAACAGAAAAAACAAAACCCATGCACACAAAGTAACAAAATAACAAAGCTTGCTCCTTGGAATACAGCAAGTCATACTGGACATTTCACCCCGTCCCCTGACCATGCCAGCCTAGAAAGTTATGGGAATCTGATCAGTGCACAGGTATTTTCACCTGTTCTAGTTGTGTCATGGGCACATTACACACAAAATCTTCCAGGGAGAAATGACAGTGACATTTTCAGGTGTATCTGCTGGGGTCCAGACCCACATTTATGGGGACACAGAGATGTCTCACCTTCTTGTGTCCTCTACCCCCAGAGAGATCCTGTTCTTCAGTCTCTCCTTTCTTAGCAATGGCTTCAGCCATAACACACAAGGACATTTCCCTTGAGCTTTCCTTTCACATCCTTCCCTCAGTTTCTCCCAATTTATTCACTGTCGTGCACTTTCTATACTCTCTTTTATTATTTTGTAAATTTATGGTCTCTAGATTTGCCTACCACATCCTTTGTTCTGTGGCCATATATTGTTACATTGTTCATCTTCCAGTTCAGTGTTCACTGTTATTTAAGTTGTTCAATTCCCTTATCTTCCAGTTGATTGTAAATTCAAAGCAATCCCTCCCATTTCAAACACATAGAAGTCCAGCTCTAAGAACTAACCCAATACTATTTGATTTTTCCTTTATTTTTCCTCAAAGTAAACAAGCTTTGATTCTCTCATGTAGCATTTATTTTTGTATTTTGCTAACTAATATTTGTTAGACAGTATTATGAGCCATGTACAATATAAGTACTCTACATGCATTAGTGTATTTAATCCTCAAGGTAATCCTCTGAGGTCAGTACTATTACCTTCTGTATGTGACAGATGATAAAATTAAGGCTTAGAATTTTGACCAAGGTGACAGAGTCAGTACATGTCAGAGTTAGAATCTGAATCCAGACCTATCCATTTATCCCTCTCGAGACTCTTATCCTTTGCTCACTACTGTTTCTATCACTTACTACAGCTCCACTTTTCAGCACCACCAATAACACACTCCTTTTGATCTTTTAAATTTAGTGTTTCACTTCTAATATGATTATAAATCTTCTACATTTTCTTATAACAAACTTCATCGAATTCCTCGACATTCACTGAATTCTCGTTTATTGTTTTTATTTCCAGAAAGAAAAATAATTCTCCTTGGTGGTGAATAGAACTAAAGCCAAGAATTAAATACAAGAGATTTTCTTCTTTTTTACATTTTCTCTCCTTTCAATATAAATTCATGGTAGTATTTCTATGGTTGACAACTATGCTCTTTATAGAAGTTTAAATTTATTTTATGTAAAATTATTTTTTCTTTTACTGATTTATTCTCCTACATTGCTTCTTAAAATTATTTATCTATGAATTGTTTCTCATCTCATTTTGAGTGGATCAATGTTCTCGTATTAGTTCAAATGCCACTGACTTCCAACCACCTATTCTCTCATCTCTTGGCAGCACCTTACCGTCAAGATGTCTCCTAAAGTGAAACCTTTTCTTTCTCCAACTCCTGCCTTGTCCCTCCTATGGCCTTTAAGAAACTGCTCTTGCAAAACTCGAAATCATGATACGACTTCTTAATTGTCTTAGCATTAACTCAGAATTGAAGCTTTCACTAGGAAATTTGAAAGAGAAACAAGGAGAGAAGCAGACTTCCTTCTCAAAGTTGTTCTCATAGTTTAACACAAAAACTTCTCAGACTTCTCTTCACTATGATCCAGGTAATGAACACTGCTCCCCTCCACCATCACGCTCATCTCCTCCACTCTAGAAAGTACATAAGATGCAGTGGAATAAAAATAACTTCATTATGGGATAACTTTAAGTCCATTCGAATTTATTTTTAAAAATAAAAGATAAAAAAAGAGAATGGCATAGAATTGAGGAAGGTAGAGAAAGAGTGGAAAAATCAAACCCCAGTACTTTAAATTTAAGTAGGACAAAGCACAATTTATATCAAATTGACTTACTGTGCTGTAGGACTTTGCTTAGCATTCTATTTTGTATATAAATTAAATTCACCTGTTACCATAATCGATTGAACTTTTAGAAATGGTTTACATACAACTAGTGTTGATTATTGTTATACTAGTTAGCTCTACTCAGTATTTTTTTTCTAAATCCTTTCAACTCATTTTAAGTGAGGTCATTCCTGGTTTTTTACAGAAATGATTATTAGGAAAGATGATTATTAGGAATGATAAACATTGTTCCCACTCTTTATTTTGGCAAATCGGTGCTAAATTAGATGGCTTGAAACAAAATTCCTCCCTGCAGCTGTTTTTCTTAGTATTGTATAAGGTGCTTGTTTCTGTTGTGTTTTTTTTTGTTTTTTTGTTTTTTTGGTGTTTTTTTTTGTTTGTTTGTTTTTGTTTTTTGTTTTTTTTTGGGGGGGGGTTGGCGGGGTTAGGGGCTGTGGGAGGAAGCAGGTGTTTTAAATAATTTAGCATCTTTCTCCAAGTCGGCATATAACACCGTCAAGAAATTACTACTCTGATAGTCTCAATGCTACAACTATCGGAGAAAAAGCCTTTCAAAAAAATTTCTCTAGTTTCATGAGTCGGAATTATGCTGGAATATAGCACACACTATGACTAAATATATATTAACAGTAACTAGATTTTAGTGAGCACCTTGCTTTATTCTAAGTACTAGACTCACTGGCTCAGTCAGTTCTCGCAGTCTATGAGGTGGTAATGGTTATGATTTCATATTACAGATAAGGAAACACACACAAAAAAAGTCAAGTAAATTACACAAAGTCACATAGTAAGTGGCCATGCCTGCTTCCAATCCAGGCAGTTTCTGGCTTTGGTGCCTGGCCCAACCTTTTAAGGCTCTGTTCCCCGAGGCAGAGAATGTGCCCCTGTATACAGGACATTTAATGGGAACAGAAAGACTCACTACCCCAAAACATCTTTTCCATACACTGTGACAGTGCTAAAAATTGCATCATTCCATATTAACCCCTCCATGTCGAAAGCCAAAGTCCCCTTACTTAGCCAAGTCAACTCTCTAAAACACAGATACTCACAGATGGAATGTATCAGATCCTGCCTCTTCTGAATACATTTGGTAAATTTCTTAGTAGAAATAGAAGTTAGTCCTACCCTGCCTGCTTGCGTGTTTTCTTTCTTGTTTGGTTTTGGTTTTTGTTTTTGTTTTTGTTTTTGTTTTTGTTTTTGTTTTTGTTTTTTTAAGTCAGCTTCCTCTTCTTTTCTCAAGCTATAGCATTTAGGGCAATAATTTGTCTCCTTTAAGGAAATGCAATGAAGCTTCCTCTCTTGGACATGCATTCTCCTCCAAAGGTCCAGGGAGGCCCATCTATCTTGTCCCAACACAGACAGACATGGCAAAGCCCCTGTTGTCTTTCCTGACATAAATGTGTTTGTTATTTTCTGATTGGAGTTTCAAAGAATGCCATGTAATGAGTTTAAATTGTCATTAAATATCTTCTCTGATTGTTGAAAACCAATGGGGAGGGAGGGATGGCCTAGAACAAAGTAGGAAGACACCAAATACGGATCTCATCATTTTGCTCAGGGCCAGACCCTGCGTACACGGGGGCACATGTATATTTCTGTCCAGCAGACCAGATGGTGCTACTGGTTGAGACAGTCTTTTTTAAGACTTTCTAATCATGAATTGAAAAATGAAACCTTTCTCCTAGAAAACTCAGGTGAATGTATCAACCTGCCCATTTCCTTTCAGCATCAGCATGACCACATGCTCCACGCTGCTGGCCCTGGGAATGATGCCTCTGTGCCTCTTAATCTATACCAAAATGTGGGTCGACTCTGGGACGATCATAATTCCCTATGATAACATAGGTAAGTCATTCCTCTGTGAGATTGCCAAGTATTATTCTCCTACTCTCTGCTTATGCCCAGCTAGGTTCTCAAGCCAGGCTCAGACCCAGCCAGTATTTACTTACCTCTTGCACCAGCAGCAGTTTATGCCCAATTAGGATTTCATTACAAGTCACCCCTGCGTTTGAATTAGAGTTGGCGGAATCTAAATGCCAGACCTGGACACCATGGGAGAACCTGTTTTTTCCCTCCATTGATATCACTAGGGAGAGGGGCCAACTTAAGGGTTTCCCCTGCACAGCTGTCTGGACTTGAGGAGGCAGAAGTTGCTCGTGTACCAGAGGCTCTGTTCTTTCCTTAACCCACGGTGCAACTAGTTCATGGGAATAAGAGTTTGCTCCCAGACAGTCAAATTGAAGAACTACAAAAAACATTCCACTAATGATTTAAAAATTGGACCCCCGGTAAGCAATCATGAGTGTGGTGAACAAAAACTATCAGATAAAACATATTGTTTATAACATTTGACTGTGAGCCACATCTTGATTTAAAAGTCGATTTACTGGCACGGCCTGTGTATCGTGCCTGAGAGTCACATTTGCTAGTTATGACTCTGTCTCCACTCATTTCAACTCCCAGATGTTTACCGCTATCCCAGTGGAGTTTTTTCCCTATTTCTGGGAGAATAAATGATGGTGGAAGATTAAGTTGTTGGCATAACATGGGGCCAAGGGAAGGACAGGATGGTTCCTGATGTACCCAAACCAAGCATCAGGCATATTTCGTAGAATTATCACCATAAAAGGTGAAATTTAGGTGAAATAGTACATCAGTACCAGTCACTAGGTACACTGCATGCTAAATAGTCTATTTTCAGCTGACCTTAGAGATAAACATCCCCCTGATGGGCTGTGTCAAAAAGGTAAGAGTGTCCCACCGAAGAGAGCATGTAAGCTAAAGCTAAATGGTGATTCAGCAGGTTGTTTGTAAAAGGAATTTCTGTTGCAACAGAAAGCTGGACTGGATGGCACCTAATATCCCTTCCATTTCTAAGAAAGATCGTGATAAAACTTGATTCGAGTTCTACACAACTGACTTAGAACACGCTTTGGGGACACTAATTGGGAGCAATCTATATTGCAATATTTTCAGATATTCTCCCTCTCCACCCCTATCATGGCCATTAGACCAAAAAAAAAAAAAATGTGGTCCTCCTTGACATCACGTTCAGAATGGGATTTCTTGATACAAGGTCCTACAACTGACCCCTGGAAACTCCTCCTGTCAGACACCGTCTCCTGCTGCAAACAGGTTTTAGTATGACCCTCCACAACCGCCTGCCTATGCTCATGCTGCTGAGCTCTCAGTCTGCTCCTCAGAGGACACCTTCCTTAAAGTTGAAGAATGCAGTTTGCTTGAGTGGTATACATTTTAGGCCTCTCAAAGAACCTGTCTGTGGAATGAAGAGCTTTAATTCTATATTATTCATTATTTAAGAGGAGAATTTAAGCTTTAAAATATTCTTTTGATATGCATTCCATTCTGGAAAATGTCCCATAGCAATATGAGTAATTCTAACTATGGTGTGAATGACTTATATCACATCCTTCAATGACAGTAAATTCTGAAAGCAAGAGAAAGTGAGAAAGAGTAATTAGAAATGGGTCATCAAAGAAAAAACAAAATAAGAAAGAAAATAGAAGAGAAAGAAGAAGAAAAGTTAAAAAATTTAAATGAGAGTTTGAAAAACAAAAATATTAATTCTGCTTAGTCACCATTCTGCCCAGGCCTATTTCCAACCTAACCTTCTTGCTACTGGTTTTTCTAATCTTTTAATGTAGAAAACAAACAACCTAATTACTGCAAAAGATGTTATCACTACGTTTTCGATGAGGAAATTAGGCTTAGGGTCACTGTTTAATCTGTCCAAGATGACCAGGTTGCCTGGTCTGTTCTGCACTTGTTCCACACTGAGGATAGGTCTGTTTGGCACAGGTTCCACATAGTGCTCACCATGATTCAATAAATACCCGGTAAGCCCCTTCGGATGATGCATTTGGATGGAGGAGAAGGCAGCTTGTACAGCTGGTACCACGAAAAACACAGTGCAGCAAGTTGTTGTTCGTACTCCTCTCTACCTTATATTTGAGTGCATACAGTACCACATACTGTATATCTGCTTCATCACCTAATTCTCACAGCAGCACTGTGAGATGGGTATAATTTTACCCATTTCATAAACAGGGAAACCATGGCTCAGAGGGGTTAAATGATTTGTACAGTTTTCACAGTTTGTGAATAAGGTTCAGCTCTGAAACTCTCTCATTCCAAGTTCCACCACATGACTCCAAGCACCACTCTCTTTCATTCTCTTTTTCCTTTCTACCTTTCTTTCCTCCTATACCTGCTTTGTAAACTTGATTAAAGACCAAGTTATGGTTCAAATGGCGTAACTGTAAGCAGATGCTTTCTCATCTAAATAGGCAGGTGTTGGGCAGAAAGCACAGGAATGTGAGGAATAAGAGAAACAAGCAGAGCCTGGGAGAAGAAAAGAGTAGGATCTCTAGACCATTGAAGAGTAAAGAGTTAGAACAACCCACCTTTCCATGTGGGAGTCACATACTCTGAGTATGAAGAAGGACAAAGAGTGTGTCTTTTCCAATCAACTTCAAGTCCCAAAAAAAACTTTATCTGGCCTCATTTGGTCAAGAGAGTAAAGTGAATATGCAATGGATTCGAACAGATGGTCCTGCTTGCATGTTTATTCCTTAGCCTTGGGCTGCCCCCAAAGAGATAAGGCCTCTTAGCAAGAGGGGCCAAACATGGGAGTTTGCTGTCTTTTCACAGATCCAGCACATTAAAAATATGTTACCAAAACCTAACCACACACATTCCAAGCACAGCATTTTGCACCTAGATTTAAGCTACCAGAGTACAATCCATACCAAGATGGTTTTCATTTAAGTTCTATAAAATTCAAACAATTTAGAGAATAGACCAGAGACCCAGGGTCTATGTAGCAGGATGTAAGGATCCTCAAAAGGGATTTTCTCAAAGTAGCAGGATGTAAGGATCCTCAAAAGGGATTTTCCTGAAGGCTCTTACCAGTAAATCTATAAACAACCCTTTTTCAGGTCCATTGTTCCACCATTTTCTCCTTAATTTCTCCTCACCATCATTTTTTTTTTTTGTCCTGCTCTTGGTATCCTTAGCTACCAGAAGGCTACAAAGAAATTATGTTTTCGTCACTGTAGTATTCATTTTAAATTCATATTTACGGGCCTGGAATCGAGAATCTGTTTGCCAGTCCTAGTTCAATCTACTCCAATACTAAGGAATGTCTGCTGTCAGAATTTCATTTTTCAATTCCACTTTCTCTCAATGCTTTAAAAAGAATGTTTGAAAAAGAAACAGCCCATGAGAAGTTACAAGTTGTGTGTACTATATTATATAAAAACAGCTATTGGACAAATGAGTGTTAAATAATTTAGAGAAACAAACCACATGTCATGAGAACAGCAGTAAATTTAACATGGTGAAATTGAAGTATGACTCTTATCTGGCTGGGTGAGCATGCTCCTGCAAAGAATTATACTTACTTAAGAGGTCGTCAAATATATTATCTGACAGAAAATTTAAAGCATGCTTTTCAACCTATTCTCTCACCTCTCTGCTATAGATTTGAATAACTGAAATCATTCTTAACCAGAAGTCATTAGCCTACGGAAAGCTTGGAGAAGTTTGAACTTTTTCTTTTATTTCTTCTACCAAGAAGTAGCAGATATAAAATATCATCTATGTACTTCTTAAGAACACGCACACACGCACGCGCACACACACACACACACACACTTTGAAAAGGAATTTTTCCTAGGATAGAAAGATCCAAACACCAAAAAGACAAGATTCTGACAAAATGAAACTAAAAAATATCAATCGGCAGTATAAAAACTCTAAAAAATTTACCCCAAAATTTAAGGAAAGGATTCATATTATTTACTGAAGTGGGTTTTTTGTTTTTGTTTTTGTTTTTGTTTTTAATTCTGTTCTATGTATTCAAGAAGGATACTGATATATTCCCTAAGTTTTTTAAGGCTGCTTATTTTTCTGTTTTCCTCTTTTCTTGTGCTGTGTTCTGTTGATCAAATTGCTCTTCCGTCATCTTTAGGTACATCTTTGGTCGCTCTTGTTGTTCCTGTTTCTATTGGAATGTTGGTTAATCACAAATGGCCCCAGAAAGCCAAGAGGATACTTAAGGTAAGTGGCCCATGTTATAGAATGCAAAGTCAAATGTTCCATAGTGTGAGTTGAAATGATAGGTCTTTCCAGCTACTACACTTGTTTTCTCATTATTATGGGGGTGGGACTTAAAGTTATTAGACATGCAGTTGACTCTTCTAGAAAGACTTTCCTTGTTGTATCCACAGGGCAAATTTCTATCCACCTTTTGAGATACGTAATTCAAACATCACCTCTTGGTTTTATTCTACTCTGTGTTCCCACAGCACTTTGTTCTTATCTCTATTATGTGGCTTTGTATTATAAAATATATCTACACAGCTGTCTTAGATAACAGATCATATCTTTCTTATCTCTTTATTCATATGACCTGGCAATTGTTAGATAATTATATATATATAATTTTATATATATATATATAAAATTAGTAATCATTCATTTTCTTCACTAACTATATTCTGGCTAAATGATATGGATATATAAACATGGATTATATAGATATATGGATATAGATATAGAGATGTAGACATATTCCACTGACCAGGGAACAAATTAAGCTTGTTGGTATTCTTTGTTTCTCTGGACAAAAAAAAAAAGTTATAAAATCCAATTTTTTTTTAATGTGAAAGGGAGAAAACAAGAACAGTAGCTTTTGTTTACACATATATTTTAACTTTTATAGGGTTTATATCTATTTTCTCATTACCATAATAATCATAAAAGGTGACTAGGGCAAGATTTTATCCATAATTACAGATGAAGAAACTTAATATTCAGAGAAATTTCATAATTTACCAAAGGAAAGAGAGCAATAGGAATGGAATCCGGAAGCCAGATCTTCTAGTTCTTATTGAGTGGGTTTTCTTCCTCTCTGACAAGGATAATTTGCAAGCTAGAACAACTTCAGGCTAATTGAACATGTATGCTACATGTCCTGCTATTTTCTTAAAAATTAAAACATAGGACAAGCACCAACATTTCTGGCCACAGCCATCAAGCAAGGAATACACAGAGAAGTCACTTCATTATCACATTTATTGGTTCTCCTTGTGTCTTTCTTCCAGGTTGGGTCCATCACAGGTGCGATCCTTATCGTGCTCACGGCTGTGGTTGGAGGAATACTGTACCAAAGTGCCTGGGTCATCGCTCCCAAACTGTGGATTGTAGGAACAATATTTCCTGTAGCCGGTTACTCTCTAGGGTTTTTGCTGGCTAGAATAGCTGGTCAGCCCTGGCACAGGTAGGGTGTTTTTGTAAATCAGATTGGAAATTTTCTTCTGTAACAGCAGTTGTATTAGTTTGCTAGGGCTGCTTTCACGAAGTCCTCCAAATGGAGTGGCTAAAAACAACAGAAATGTATTGTCTTACAGTTCTGGAGGCTACAAGTCCTAAATCAGTGTGTAGCAGGATTGATTCCTTCTGAGGGATATGAGGGGGATTCTGTCCCAGGCCTCTCTCCTTGGCTTGTAGATGGCCATCTTCTCTCTTTTCTCTTCATATTGTCTTCTTCTGACATTTCTCTATATTCAAATTTTCCCTTGTTGTAAGGATGCCAGTCATATTAGATTAGGGTGCATCCCAATCACCTTATCTTAACTTATTACATCTACAATAACCCTATTTCTAAATAAGGTCACATCCTGAGGTATGGAGCCTTAGGGCTTCAGCATATGCATTTGAGAGGACACAATTCGACCCATAACAACTCATAAATACTGATGACAAATTCAAACTCTTTCACCTGTAACAACTATTTCTGAATATGTCATTCTACATAGACTCATTCATTCTTAAATTATGCAAGTCCCCCCAGAAAGAAAATATTGACTGCCTCTCTTTTGCTCAAATTCTTCTGGACCATTTCCAACACAATGCAGGTTGATCTCTTCCATTGTCTTGTATCCTTATTCTCCAAGCATAGTAACTAAGAAAAGCACTCAGGTTAGCCTTTTAATATACGAGAGTTCCTCCAGCCAGCAAAGGTAAGACCTCATCAACCAAAAGTGCTGAATACTAGAACTAGGTTTAGCATGTAGGGGTTTGGTACTGAGTAAGAGCATTTCCTCCTCTACTAGCCCATCTGAATCAACAGGCAGAGGGAAAAGCAGATGTAGGAGCTGGTGCCTGTATGAAGTTTGGAAAGAGCTGAGCAGTCCTGGACAGTGGAAAAAGTTGGATACGTGAGGCAGGCTGACCTAGGCCTGCACTCTGACAGGCCACATACCTACCAACTGTGGGACCTTGGGCCGGGCACGTTTTCTCTGACCTTTCTCATCTGTAGAAGGGAGGCAGTAATGCCTACCTTGGAGATTTTTGATCAAAATTTAATCAGAAAAACAAAATCAATTTAACAATAAAACAACTATAACAAATACTCTATCTTGAGTGTTTTCTCAGCCCCTGCTCTGTGCTCTGCACTGTTAACATGTACATAATTGAAAAGAGTGAAATGAACTCTTTTGCCATTTGTACACCACTAATAAATGGTCCATAAATGAGCCTGAATTTATAATATATTTTTTAATTTAGATGTATATTCCTCTTTATTATATATATTTATTCAATCAATACCTTTATTTATCAATAAATATATATTATTTATTAATAAATATTATATATTAAATAAAACATAAATAAATATTCTCTATGTAAATATATATATTTTACACATATAGATATAGATGACATAGACATATTTCACTGCTCAGGTGGTAAAATAAGCTAATTGGTGTTCTTTGTTTCTCTGGACAAAAGATGTTATAATCTCTAGATTTTTTTTTTTTTAATGCAAAAGGGAGAAAACAATGATGACAGTGTCTTTTGTTTACATATGCTTTTTTAACTTTTAGAGCATTTTATATCCATTTTCTCATTATCATAAGAATCAACAGATGACAAGGGCAAGATTTTATCTATGTGTGTATATACATATAGAGAGAATATTTATTCATATTATATAATAATACATAAATAAGTTACATATGTATTCTATATAAATAAAATTATATATTGAATAAAATATTAAAAGCAGATCTATATACATATATTATATATGTACTTGTTCTCATATCTACTTTTAATGTTATATCATAACAAAGCAACACAAAAACAAAACAATAAAAACGTGTATTCTCTTAACATTTCTTTTAGGTGCCGAACAATTGCCCTGGAAACAGGGATGCAGAACACTCAGCTGTGTTCCACTGTGGTCCAGCTCTCCTTCACCCAGGAGCAGCTGAATCACGTGTTTACCTTCCCACTCATCTACAGCATTTTCCAGCTCATCTTTGCAGCAATATTCTTAGGAAGTAAGGAATATGCTAATCACATTTTATTATGATGTTCTTCTTTAAGGAATCCTGGAGTTATTAACAAGGCATTTTTAATAATCTTTTTCTGGCAACGAATTACATAAATTAAATTAAATGCCTTTTTTTTCTGGTAGTGAAATAAATGGGTAGAAAAAGCCACCTATAAAATTATCATGATTTCCCAACTACTGAAGAAAAGATTATAATTTTACCAAAGATTCTGGTAAAGATTATATGTAAGTGAAAAATAATGGCGATCAATCCTTTCCACTGACTCTCTTTTCCTCAGTAAGTAGGGAGGCATATTAACCTGTTAAAAACCATTTTATCGTGTGCCTTCCTACATGCTTCCCGGAACCTTGAACCAGTAATTTTTTTCAAAACATTGTTTTGATATGCTTTGTAAATATAGGATATTTATCAGAAAAATGGTATACCGAAGATATTTATCAAGCTAAGTTTCCCACGTGTGCATGTGTATATAGGTATATTTTTGAAATACCCATATAATCGAAACAGTTGAAGCAAATATGTTCTTTATTTCAGGTACTAGGGATAGCTAACTCGATTTTCAGTTTTATTCTGATGTAGCATATAGCTTTGACCCATTAGCCCCTGCCACCTGCTGGCCTTCAACTAGTTAAAACTTCCTCTACATTTTATTTTCCAAGGACAGATGATGGTTAACCTCTATTTTATTTAAATATTTTTTTTTATTTTTCAATTACAGTTGACATGCAATATTATATTACTTTCAGGTGTACAACATAGTGATTAGACATTTAAATAACTTATGAAGTAATTACTCCAATAAATCTAACACCCATCTGACACCATACATAGTTATTATAATATTATTGACTATATTCCTTATGCTATACTTTACATCCCCATGACTATTTTGTAACTACCAATTTATACTTCTTAATCCCTTCCCCTTTTTACCCAACCCCCCAACTCCCCTCCCATCTGGCAACTACCAAATTGTTTTCTATGAGTGTGTTTCTGTTTTGTTTGTTCATTAAGATTGTTTTTCAGATTCCGCATATAAGTGAAATCATATGGCATTTGTCTTTCTCTGTCTGACTAATTTCATTCGGCATAATACCCTCCAGGTTCATCTATGTTGTTGTACATGGCAAGATTCCATTCTTTTTTTTATGGCTATATAATGTTCCATTGCATATATGTACCATTTCGTCTTTATCCATTCATCTATTGATGGACACGTAGGTTGTTTCCATATCTTGGCTATTATAAATAATGCTACAATGAACATACAGAGGCATATGTCTTTGAATTAGAGTTTTGGGTTTCTTTGGATAAATACCCAGAAGTGGAATTACTAGGTCCTTTTTTGTCTTTTGTTATACCCTTTGTTTTAAAGTTTATTTTGTCTCGTATAAGTATTGCTAACCTGATTTTTTTTGTTTCCATTTTTATAAAATTATTTTTCTGTCTTTTTACTTTCAGTCTGTGTGTGTTTTTTGATATGAAGTAAAATCTCTTATAGGCAGCATATGTAAGGGTCTTGTTTTCTTATCCATTCAGCCACCCTACATCTTTTGATTAGAGTATTTAATCCATTTATATTTAAATTAATTGCTGATAAATATGTCATTATTGCGATTTTATTATTCACATTTTTTGTAATAGTAGTTCGGTTGTGATGAACTCCCTTAGTTTTTCCATGTCTGGGAAGCTCTTTATCTGTCTTTTGATTCTAAATGATTGCTTTGCTGGGCAGAGTAATTCAGTTGTAAGTCTTTGCTTTTCCTGACTTTGAATATTTCTTGCCAATCCTTTCTGGCCTATAAAGTTTCTGTTGAGAAATAAGCTGGCAATCTTATGGGAGCTTCCTTGTAGGTACCTAATTGCTTTTCTCTTGCTGCTTTTAAGATTCTCTCTTTGTCTTTCATCTTTGGCATTTTAATTGTGATGTGTCTTGGTGTGGGCCTCTTTGAGTTCATTTTCTTTGGGACTCTTTGAACTTCCTGGGCTTGCGTGTCTATTTCATTTACTAGGTTAGGGAAGTTTTCTGTCATTTTTTTAAAACAGATTTTCAATTCCATTCTCTCTTTCTTCTCTTTTTGGTATCCTTATGATGAGAATATTGGTACAGAATTTACTTATTGGGGCTCTGGTGCCTGCTGAATCTGGTCTTTGCTGTGTCATTTATGGAGATGGTTCGGTGGTTCTCTGGTGTGGTCTGAAGCTGGCCACCAGTTGTGTTGATCCTTGGGCCTCTTGGGAGGGGCTGTGGTGCAGTCCAAGTTTACCCACTGCCTGTGCCCTGCATGGGGCTACTTGGTATGAGCTACAAAGTGATCTGCAAATGGCCGCCATTTGTGCTGGTTTTGCATGTGCCTGGGAGAGGCTAAGCTGCGATCTGAGGCCAGCTGCCACTAGTTTTGGGCTTGAGGCTGCTTAGCAAGAAGTCTGAGGATACATCAAGGCTAGATGCTACTTGTTTGGGGTTTGTGAACCTTTGAGAGATTTTAAGAAAGTCTGCAGCATGAGCCAAGATAGGTTGTTTGCATGGAAAAGCCACTGGAAGCAGCTTGAGCGGGCCCACACGTTGCATGGGGAAGGGTCTCAGAGAATCACTAGAGTGTGGCAAGCTAGATATGATGCTTGCCTGTGTGTGCAGATTGAGTGAGGAAAGAGCCCAAAAAGGAACGATGGCTTCTGCCATCCAGCCCTTTCCCTGAAGCCAGACGATTTTGTTCTTTCTCATACATCCCTGGCACCTTTTGAGCTGCTGCCCTAGAGCTGGAGCTCAAAGTGAGTCCGTCAGCGAATACATCCATGCATGGGCCCTTTAAGAGGACCACCTGGGATTTCGGCCACCCTCCATTTCACTTAGCCACAATCTCTGCTGGTTTACACAGCCAGATATTAGGGGGACTTCTCACCCTGACACTGGAAACCTGGTCTGGGAAGTCTGGTGTGGAGCTGGGACCTTTGCTGCTCAGAAGGGACCTCCGCAGCTGAGATGTTCCTCCCAATTGTTAAGTACCACACTTGAGTATGACATGAACTCAGTCTGGGTCTCCACCTGTCCTCCTATCTTCAACACAGCTTCTTCTGTATATCCTTAGTTATAGAGCTTCAGTTCAGCTAAACTTCAGGAGATTCTCAATGATGGCTTTTCTGTAGTTTAGTTGTAATTTTGATGTGGTAGTGGGATGAGATGAGCACAGCATTTACCTGCTCCACCATCTTTACCAAAACTCTAACCTCTATTTTTAAATTCTATTTTTTTTGTAATAAGAAATTGCTGTTTTAAGCTTCATGGCATTTTAATGGGGATTGTATAGTGAAGGTGAATGATGCAAATGATGTGAATGTTAAGTTATAAAATGCCTGGAGTTAGTTTTGTTTAAATTTGGTTTTACTTTTTCACTTAGCTCCAATAGGTATTCAACTTGGCTGTGGGTGCTAATCATTTTCTGCATTACTGTCTTGAATGTTATTCTCAAAGCAGAGTTTGGCTTTCTATTACAGGACTATCTGAAACCACTGGAAACTTTTCCCTAATTTATCTTTGATGTAGAAGACAGGAGTCCATGGCCTAATTATTTTGTTTTCTTGTATGTACAAATATACCCAAATTGGTGCACCTCAATATTTTTACAAATAATTAGTTAATGATGTCTACTAGACAAGCCAAAGAAAGACTGGTTGATAGAGCAATTAAGTAGATCTACTAGTTGAATAACTAACTCAAAAGGAATTAACAGATAAGCTGAAGGAATGATGGGAGGGCACCAGTATTGGTCTTAAACTTTCCCACAGTTTTATCAGCAAAATTGAAATTCCAATTGAATCCATATATTGGTTTTGAAAACAAGAAAGAGATCTTTATTAAGTATATGCAATACTTAGAAGCATATTTCAGTGAAAGGATTAGAAGTTTAAATATTTTTTGGAACAAGAATAGGAAAGGAAAGAAGGAAGGAAGGAAGGAAGGAAGGAAAGAAAAAGAAAGAAAAGAAAAGAAGGAGGGAGAGAGAGAAGGAAGGAAGGAAGGAAGGAAGGAAGGAAGGAAGGAAGGAAGGAAAAAAAGAAAGAAAGAAAGAAAGAAAAAAGGAAGGAGAGCAGGCAGGCAGGGGAGAAAGAAAAGGAATAAACAGGTCGATTAAATAAAATCAGGAGTCTAAGTATAAATTGAAGCAATCCCAGCTCAGAGTTTATAATAAAAGTGTTGGAATATTTTAACTAACCACAGCTCAATTCAATCAGTTCAATAGCTCAGGGCTTCAAATCTACTATATTACTAGAAGTGCAGGGACCAATCCAAGGAGATATTGATCTTGATATATTAATATCTTTGAAGCAGGACATTGTATCTCTCAGCCATGTATCATGATAGTTAACATTTACCAAGCTCTTACTGTTCTCCCAGGGCCATGCTAGGCACTTTAGTACTTTATCTCATTTAATGTTCGCAATTGCCCTTTGCAGTAGATAGTATTATGATATCAAATTTAAGTGTAAGATATTGTAATTTGAGGGTAAATAATACCTTCTCTTCCCCTGAGGACTTTGGAACCAATTAAGAGGTAGAAGAAAAAATCAGATATGTAGATAATACACTTTTATTACAGATAAAACAATTAGGAAATATAGCTCAAAACTGCTACCAAGCAGGCTTGTTAATACCTCACCCTTCCACTGAATCACACATGTGCACGTAACACACACATATACACACATAGATTGCAAGAGTCCCCTTGAAGGGCAGTCTGCCCAGGTGAGCTGACCTCAAAAATATGCTGAGAAATGGCTGAGAGTGGCAGCTCCATAGAAGAGAAAAGGCTGATCACCAATCAGCCAAGGCCCCCTCCTTGTGGGAAAGAATGAATAAAGGCTGGGAGAGATGGGAGTGTTATTCTAGCTCACGTCCTCCTACACAGACCATTAGATCAAGGTCCTGGACATTGCCCCTTAACGTAGCATATTTATTGAGGACTAGCACATTAACTGGGAGATGATATGTACAGAATAAATGCTTGGCGAGTACCACCTGCAGAAGTCATGGGAGCAAGTATCCTATACAGCTGTACACTAGATCTTCCTAAACTGCAGTCATTTCTCTTACCATGAGTAACCATGGAACTAGGAATGGTGATTGTCCTAAGTAGCCTCCAGCCTACAAAATCTGCAAACTGATTTTTGAGCCATAGCTTTTAATCACTGTCCAAAGTAAGTTTGCAGCTAATTATTATGAAAGTTGCTTAACTTCTCCTGTATTGTTTTTCAGTTTATTTGATATATAAGAAATATCATGGAAAAAACAATGAGGAATTTCCAGAGAGCAAAGACAACAAAACAGTCCCCGAGTCATCGCTCTATAAGGTGAATGAAGGATTTCAACCACAAGAAAAGTAGACACCAAGTAGACAAAAAAGAAGAATTCTAAAGACCGTGCTTCAGCTATAACAATATTTAATTATTTGTTTTGATGGGATATTTGGCAGGAAAAAGTTAAAGCAAAAACTTAAATTCCAGTTGAATCCATATATTGGTTTTGGTACCAAGCGACTGACAGTCCAAATCTTTAATGTAGCAAATATTTATATGTATATAAATATTTCTGTGTCTTTGAAATATCCCCCCCAAAATATCCTCAGATCTCAGACTGAACCTGACATAGATAACACTGAGAGCCTCGTATTCCTGAACTGAATTCTTACCCAGAATCTCATAACCCAGAGATGAGCACCTGACTTTTTTATATTAAAATAGCTCCACTGAATTATTATAAAGTGATCAAAATTTTCTCCAGTATTTATAATTGTAAAAAGATTGAAATGAACATCTTCCATTAACATATTAATTAATGTTGCAACCTATTTGTGTAACTCTGTAGTGTAACATGGGCAAATATCTGACTTCTTGTATTTAAAAATACTAGCCTTCTCTAAATGATAACCCAAAAGCAAAAATAAGAGAAAAGAGTTTCTAAATAGAATTCAATAACCAAATTAATAATTTTCTACATTGGTTTCTCTGTCTCAGGAGTCCAATGACACCCACTAGACTTTTTAGGAAATGGCTTGTATTTAGCAAAGCATTCTTTAAGCCCTGGAGAGGAACTTCCTCAAGGTTTGCCTGAATGAGGCAGGTGCATGTTGGCTAATATGACAGCTATTCAGTTTATATGGAGCCCCAGAGTAGGCATCATTGCCTGGGGAGTTGTCAAGAGGTACAAAGACAGTAGAAGTATTGGAAGAAACACCACTACTCTAGTGGATGAATTCGATTCAATGGGAGATAATGGGAATTACATGAAAAGGCACAAATAACAGAATCCCACTTGAAATGCATGACTAGCTCCAAGTAGATGTGCAGAAGTAAGAAGCGATAAGAAAAATGAAGTCAGGGAGCTATAGAGGAAGTGAGTATTGAACAGTATTTGAGAAAGAAGAGCACACACCCAGGGCCCAGAAGTAGAAAGGGCATTGCCATGTAAGCTCCTTGAATGCTATAAGCAGGTGTAACAAGAGGAAGCAAGAAGGATTTGATCAATGACAACAGGGTTTTATGGCAAGAGGGAACTGGCTGAGTGTTGGGTTCTCGATTTTAATGTCTAGTTTAATTTCCTTTCCCACATTCTGCAGCAAGATGCAGGCACATTCTTAACTCATTTCATAGTGATTTAGTTCCATTTTTCCGTTTGGACATTTTTGCTGCCTCATAGACTCCCTTTCAAATGTTTTGGCTCCTAAAGGGCCTTTTGCGTTTGAATAATGTGAGTTAGATCCTGCTGGTGCACCTCAGCATTACAGGAACATGAACATCAGCTCTTTCAATAGAGGGATGAGGGATTCTGCTTTTCAATGTTGTAATATTTATACCTTTTTATAAAAGATTCACATTTACAATTGAATAAGGATCTTATATTTTTCTATCATTAGACAAGTACATTAAAAGGGACTAGGGACTTTTATTAAAGGATAGTAGGTGAGAGGTGGTACAGATTTTCTTATTAGGGAGTGTCAAAGAATATGCTTTCCAACAGTGCAAAAGGGAGACTTTCAGTCTGTCTGTAAAGTACCTCTTATACTTTCATCAAATAGACAACAGGCAGCTGCACTAGAGACACACTGTGAATTCATATCATAATTTCAACGTACCCGAATTCAAGGGCCTGGATGCCAGCAGTTGCAGCAAGCAGGTTTTTCCTCCCTGTTGATAAAGATATGAGACTGAGACAGAACTTGGCTTTCTTACATAATGTGGTATCTTGTAAGTTGTGGATTTTTTCCTACTGTGCTAGAGGGAAGAAAATTAGCTGTTTTTAAGTTGACAGCTCTCTATTTTTAAATGACTTTGAAAAGACAAATAAATTATGTATTTTATTGCTTCTGTGAGTATCATATTAAATGAATATTTTATTTGAAAGGCTTGAATAAATGAAAATAATTTTTGTAATGTTTGGCCTATTTGAGTCTTTGTGACAACTGTCAAGATATTTTCACTATTTAATTCTAGAGATATAAATAAGGTAAAGTTTCTCAAATATTAAATTATTCTTTAAAACATGCCTGAAACTCTTAATTAAACACTCTAATAATAAGGTCTCCCACTGATACAGACTGAGGTTGTCCACAAGAAAATCATACTACTGTAACACTAACTAAAGACTCTTAAAAATGGTATGATGATGATAGTTAATCTAAAAATAATAATAAAAGTATTATGTGTACTTATAAATAAAACTACCACTACCTTCTACTATATACATACATATGTATGTGTGTGTATGTGTGTGTGTGTGTGTGTGTGTGTGTATATATATACACACACACACATACATATGTATATACACTTCAAAAACCACATTAGTTTAGAACAAGTGTCTTCAAAGTATGATATAGATACTCCTGGGAGTTCCTGAAATTATCTAAGGGGTATGCAGGCACAGATATGGAATCAATTTCCATTTCTTCAATTTCCGTATGTATACTTTCCCAAAACTGCCCTGCTTGAAATGCTTGAGTTGCCCTTAGTTCTCATTTCCAACCTCCTCTTCATGGCAGGGTTCCATTCCCCCCCCCCCCCAAAGAAAGGAAGACCTTACTCTCATCATCCCTTAGGCTTATTATGGTACATTGCCCAGGGTAGAAGACTTTTGAACATCAACTAAAGGAATAATCAAAATACTGGTGCCTGAGGAAGGCTTCTCATCTTTCTTAGTTGTATACATTCTTATTTAAGAATTTAGAAATGGGATATTTTGACCCGTGTTGGAATATTTTGAATATAGAAATACTATAAAGTAGAGTGGGAACAAAGACAATTTTCCATTAACACTCTCGCTAGCAATTTCATCTCCAACTATTTACCCAAAAAACATCATTCTTGAGGGTAATTTTGTGAGAGCAAGCAAAGGAGCATTGGTTAGAAACATTGAAAGAGAATACCGTTTTTTTCACCTAAGGGATGATAAATTTATGGCAAATATCTGAATCTTATCTATCTTGGAACTGCAATTCCAATGTGAGGGGATTGACATAGGGACTTGTATTGATGGATTGGTTAGGACTGAAACATAAAGTCGGATTTTTTTTTTTCTGTCAGAGAAAAAAAAGTCTGATTTGGCTGATTGGTTTGACAGGGGTCCTTGCTTTGCCAATTAGGAAATATGAAAGACATTTTCCATAAGTTAAATGAGATAAATCTGCACCTCCAAGATTTTAAAAATATATTTAAAATGTTATAATATCAAAATCATATTATAAAATAATTGATCTAGAATATATAAAGACTTACATTTCAATAAGAAGGTAAGTAACTAAATTTTAAAACGAGCAGAACAATTTGAATAAACTTCAGCAAAGAATGGCTACTAAAGCCAATGAACCCACAGTAATAGCAAATAAATAAATGAAAAGATCCTCGATAACATTTATAATTAGATAAATACAAATTAAAACCACGATGAGGTACCTCTACATGCCCAATAAAATAGCTAAAATAAAAATTACTGATGATAGCAAATGTTGTTAATTCCATAAACCATAACTCTCATAGACTACAGGTACTACCGTTACTTTCAAAAAACAGTTTGCAGTTTCTAGTAAAAAACACACACTAACCATATAAACCAACAATCTCACTCCTAGGCATAAGAGAAATATAGTAACACAAAAACAGGAGCCAGTAACTTGCAGAAGGAATTGATTAAAAGGGGCATGAAGGAACATTCTGGGATGATGGAAATGTTCTGCAACTTGAAGTGTTTGTCAAAATGCATAGAACTGTATGCTTAAAATTGGTGAACTTCATTCTTTGTAAATTATACTGTTAATAAAGCTGATTAAAAAATTTATGATTAAGATGTAGTAAGGAAATTTATTCCATTTTTCCCTAACTCTCTGAGGATACTGAGTTAAATTTGGAGCCTCTAAGTAAAAGAGCAACAGGCTCTAAGAGCTATTTATTAAGTTTAATAAAGCCTTTTGTTGTATACTTTCTAGAAACAAAAAGTTAATAGCTCAAGTTCCAGAAACGTTTTGAAAAACAGGTATTTGCAATTCTTTGTTTTCAACAAAACTGAACGAGATGCCCATCAAGTTGTCAACCCTTGAATTAAAAAAAAAAAAAAAAAATTGATGATAGACCACTGATTTCTTTAGTGAGTTAACCTGGAAGGCATTTGAATTTGAGGGACAATATCTACCAAAAGTTCTTGTATTGTCCTTTTCTTCATTATGTGAAACAAGGTTGGTCAACACCGAAGTCTATAAACACACACAAAAAAGAGGAACAATGTAGATGTTGAAGCCTCTCAGTCTAATAATAACAGCAAACTGTTACATAGTGCTTATTGACTTCCAGGCTCTTTTTAACCTCTCTGCAAATATGAACTCATTTAATCCTCACAACGATTCTATCCCCCAACCCCTATCTTTTACAGATGAGGAAATTTAGGGCACAGTTAAGTAACTTTCTCAATCTTACACAGTTGGCAAGTGGCAAAACTTGATTTGAACTCAAGAAATCTGGCACTACATTCTGTACTGTTGACCACAGTCCTAAACTACGTAATATCCACAGATATATGGAATTTTAAAATTTTCATGAATGCATTACATTAGAATAAATTTTGCAGTGTAAATGGAATTAAAATATAAATTCAAGCAGAAAAAAAAATAAAATGTGAATTTTCCAAATATGAAGGCAAAACTTTTCCATCTTATTTCAGTCAACAATAAGTATCATATCTATGAGATATGCAGATAACTTTGGATACATTTAAAAGTGATGTAACAATTTAATTTTAAAGTTTCACTGTTTTACAAAATTGTATTTGCAACTATTGTCAGAAATTGAACTTATTGTTTAATATTATGACAAATGGCAAATATCACCTAAAAATATACAAAGTATTTTTACGTTTTAAAAATTATTTGGTGAGATATGCAACCTAATTTTTTTTGTTTTAATTCTAACCTTTTAATAACTTGCTAAGTATTACATTTAAAAGGCTAGTCAGTGTTACAAAGATGGTAGGGGAAGCTAATGAATGATCGCTTTTTCTGAAAATTAAATACATACACACACAAATACACACATATAATTGTATACAGTGCTAAAGTAATGAGAAATAGTATCATTACTCAAAATTAAAATAATGATTTGAGATATTTAAACACAACGATTACTAGTATGTTGAAACAGTAGGGTTTTCAGCTGAACTGCTGATCCATACATTATTATAAGTTCTTGCGTCATCATGGTTACATCATTCTCAAACTAGGAGAGCTTAAAATAGAATAGTTGTTTTAAAAAATAACAGATATGATTCTGTCTTTCCGTTACTGTGGATATAATGACTCTTTCATAGGTAGTCTCTTGGAACTAAGAAACAATATAATGGCTATGGTTACAAAGCTAATATCCCTAACATCAACCCTTTTAAGGAATTGGTGAAGACAATGCAGACATTTATTAGGGACAAAATGGAACAGCAAGGGGGAAAGCATTATGAAATAATGTTTAGTGAAAAAATAAATACTTATAATCTTTATATTGAAATGCATGCAAATGATAAGCATCAAAAGAGAAATGGAAATATGAGAACACTTTAAAGAAATGGGACTGTGGGATGGTTTTTCAATATTTTTCTTTACCACTATGGCACTTCCCAAAGGTTTGTTTGGTTAGTTTTCTTTTTCTTTCTCCAAATCTCATATAGTTAGGGTTTGATGAATATTTGTTGAATAATGGATATATGCACCACATAATGATGTTCCAGTAAGTAACAGACTGTGTATATGACAGTGGTCCCGTAAGATTTAAAGAGCTGAAAAATTCCTATTGCCTAGTGACATTGTAGTTGTCATAATCTCGTAGCACAATGCATTACTCATATGTTTGTGGTGATTGTGGTATAAATAAACCTATTGTGTTACAAGTCATATAAAAGTGTAGCATACACAATTAGGTATCGTACATAATATTCGATAATGATAATAAATAACTATGTTACTGGTTAATGTATTTACTATACTAGCTATCATTATTTTAGAGGCTACTCTTTCTAGTTATAAAAAAGTTTGCTGTAAAATGGTATGCCATGTTACACCAGCAGCAGCCTTATACATCTTGTGTTTATCATGTTTAATTGCATCATTTTCTCTTTTGCTTGATTTAATCTCATAAAGTCTACAGCAGTGTACAGGAATGTCCAAAGTCTTCACATCCACTCAACACTCTCTTACTGACTCACACAGAGCAACTCCTAGTCCTGCAAGTTCCATTCATAATAATAGCCAGATACAAGTGAACCATTTTTTATCTTAAATAAAGTATTTTAGTGTACCTTTTCTATACTTAGATATGTTTATATATACAAATTTTTATCAAAATATTACAGATGCCTAAAGTATTCAGTACAGTAAAATGCTGAACAGCTTTGTAGCTTAGGAGCAATAGGCTATCCCATATAGCCTAGGAATGTAGTAAGCTATACCATCTAGGTTTGTGAAGTGCACTCTGTGATGTTCATACAATGGCAAAATCTCCCGAGGACACATTTCTCAGAACATATTACCTTTGTTGAACAGCACATGACTGTACTATATTATAGATATTTAAAAGGCTCGGTGTCTTTATTCCTTTTCCATGCCACCTGGCTAAAAGTTTCTTATTCTTGTGTTTCAAAAATTCATTAGTCCTACAACACATTATTTCTTAACTCGCAAAATATACATCGGTACCAACAGCCCACTTACAGTTTTACCTTCTTATTCATACCATAGTTTCCTGGAGAAGCAAACAAGCATTTATCTAGGGCTCATAAAATTCTTAGAGAGACCTCAAGTAATATGGCAGTTACCAAAAGGCAAATTATATAATTA